TCACCTAGGCTTTAGTACACTGAATTTGAATTGTATTTATGGACTGTGTCTTTTCTTCTCAATACAAGATTTGGGGGAATTAATTTATAATTTGCCAATTTTTAAATGCCGTGTTCTCAAGACTGGATATTTCTAGTGCCATGAAAGTAACTTATGGGTTCCTCAAGGATATGCCAGTGGAATGCAAACTCTGGAAAGTTCTACCATTCTGGAAAGTCTCATCACCAGAAGGTTAGCCAATCAATATTGAAATTTTTGGCCATAGTAAACCCTGAAACAAAGCTAAATACAAAATAGCCCTCTTTTCTGAGTGGCCTCTTTCTTCTTTTTCATTGAAATTAGCAGAGTAGCAAGAAAGGGGGCAGATGGTTCTAAGAGTCACAAGTCTTTAGACCATCTCTAAATTTCAATTTGAATGTTAGTATTCTAAATGTGATACCTTGTCCAGACCAATGAGGATATACTGCTAAAGGAACTGAATGATATCAATCTTGACATTCTTGCTATAAACAAAACAGAAAAAGAAGTTGCCTCTAAATGGAGGGATAGTTCACAAGTACTCCTTAAAAAACAAAGAAGAGTTAATGAAATTGGCTTATTGTATACCCAAAGGCATCACATATTGCAGTATGGAAGATATTTACAAAAAGTTCACCAGGAAAATAATTGTAGGGAAAGATCTAAAAGAGAACAATGAGGAAAAAGAAGTCAACTCTTCTTCCCAGCTCATTGCATTGAAGGAACATGAGGGATGGTATATTCAGGACTGGAAAGAATAGTCAAGAACACGGCATCTTCTGGGGAAGCCAGGTTTCCCTGATTGTAAGAAAACTAAAGGAATATGAGAGGAAGAGATCTAATATGAAGAGCAGTTTGTTAATAACCCAATAGGCATTCCACAAGGCCCAATGGAAGGGCAGGGCAGAATAGAATAGGAACATTGGAGGGATAGGGTTAACATAAATGGAAATAAGGGTGCAGGGAGTGGTAGCAAGAGAAAGGTGCTTCTTCCAAGACAGTCTATAACTAAATAACAAGATTCTGGGTGGAGTAGATTTCACACTATGCTACCTTCATCCCTGGACATGTTTAAACATAAAAAACATCTCTCTCCTTACATTGGTTTTGATAACAATACTTGTGATGTAGATCAGGGCCATTTATATTTCTGCAACTATTTATTAGAAGTCATTTTATCCTGAATGTAACTACTTTTGGGGAATATCAAATCATGTCCTTTCAATAAATAACACAAAATGGACATTCTTTCTGAGTGGCTCACAAACCTAAGTTATAACAATCACAGTGGAACTAAATACAATTTGCTATAGACCATGGAAAGAAGAAACCTCCTTGCTTTTTCCGTCACTGTGAACAAAGAATTTCCAAACGTGCCCCAGAAGTCCACAGCTGGAAGGGATTTCAGGATACCTGTAGATCTACACCCAAATGTCAGAAGTTCCTCTTCAGACACAACACCCCCAACAAATTTTCCCATTAAAGACATACAAGGAGGAGGGCCCTACTACCTCCCAAAGTTGCCTCTTTCTGACAGATTTAATTGTTAGGAAATTTTTCTTCCATCATGCTGATATTTGCCTCTGCAACTTCTTTCGTTTATTCTTACGCTCTGAGGTGCCAAGCAGAACAAATTTGATCCTTCTTCCACACAGGGATTACGTTCTCTTTATCTTTCCGGCTAAATATTCAATTCATGAACCATTTATTAAGTACCTATGATATGCCAAGCATTTGCTTGGTGCTGGAAAAATGGAACAGACTCCTGCCTTCAAAAAGCTTTCATCCTACTGGGGGTTAACAAAACGTAATGGATAAGTATATTTATACATAAATAAAACAAAGTTAATTTCAGGGCTCTGGAAATAAGCAGTTAAAACTGAGAGAACCAGAAACCTCTAGAAAGGGGTTGGACAACTTAAGCCTTGAAAGGAACCATGATCTCCTAAAGCAGAGGAGAGAAGAGAGCAGAGCAGGCATAGGGAAAAGCCTGTGCAAAAGCACTGAGACAAGTAAAATGTAAGTGAAACAAGGAGGCCAGTTTGATTAAAACAAAGAATACATGAGGGAGAGTAATGTAAAATCAACCTGGAAAGATAGGATGGAGCCAGATTATGAAGGGCTTTAAAGGCTAAATAGGGAAATTTGTATTTTATCCTACAGGCAACAGTGAGTTCTTGAAGATACTTGAATAAGGTCACTTCATGTGGTGATACATAAAGAAACTTCCTCAGCCTAGCAGTTTCCAGTCTCCCCACCTGAATCACCTCTTCTGGACATGCTCAAGCTTTGCAGCGTTTCTCCCACTTGCTCCCCAATTTTCTCCATCCTTCCTCATCTGGATCCCTCGCCCCCCAGCTTCTATTTAATTCAACCAACATTTTAGCACCTACTACAATGATAGCATACTACATATTGTATCATAATATTATAATTATCATTATTATAGCTAGCATTTACATAGCACTTTACTGTCCGCAAAGTGCTTTAAAATATCCCATTTGATCCACAGGATAACTCTGTGAGGCAGATGCTATTATTACCTCCATTTTGATATTGCTGCTCAGAAGGGCTAGGCTAGAGCCTATACAATAGCCACACCATACTATCCTTGACTCTCCAGAATCTCAATATAGTCAGGAGATTCAAAAGTTGTGTTTCCTACATTTTTGTATCCTATCAGCACCCAGCACATAATAGGTGCTCAATAAATGACCTACTGTTCTCACCATCATTATTAATAGTAACATATTTCTATAGTGTATCAAGGTTTACAAAGAGCTTTCCTCACAACTCATAACGTAAAGTGAGCATTAATATCTTCCATTTCAAGAATACCGAGGGAATTAAAACAGCAAGTGATAGTGGAATTGAGTGAACCACACCGACACCATATTGTGACTCAACTCTAGATGTAGCTTGATTCCCTTTCAATTATGGATGTAGTCCAATTTCTGATTTGAGAAAAAACTATTCAAAATTATGGGAATTGTGAGAAAACCTTATTACATTGCTTGAACCTAGCCCTGTGGGGCTAGGAAACTGGATCCCCTTTACCTGCTGCTTTGAGACTCAACTAAGCACCTAGGTTATGCTGACCAGAAACCCAGTCAGATCTGAAGACTGACACAAGGAGTCTTCTCACAACTACACATCTCAAACAACCCATGTCTTATCTAAGAACTGGCCCTATACTGGTCAATCAGTTATTGTTCCCATGTTCCTTTGATTGAATACAGTCATTTCAGGTGAGTGGACACCTTTTTCTCAATCCAGGGAATTGCACCTGTTCATTCTTCCCATCCCAACTTGAAAAATCTTTAGTCTTTCCTCCAATTAGAAATGAGATTGCCTAACTTTGTATCCCGGTTTAGGTCGTTTTCTTCTAATTGGTCTCATTTAACTGTTTTTAATGCATAAAAATCTGTCTCCCCCCACCAGATTCAGGGTTCAGTGCTAAAGCTGAGGAAGGCCATTGGTCCCTGATTTGTTATACAACTGGCATACAATGCTTAATAAATCAATATACTCAGAAGCTTGAACCTTTGTTTCCTCAGTCACCTTATTTTTCACTCTCCACAATACTATTTATGTCTGGCCACTAAAGAAAAAAAGATTTATATAATTCATAAAGCTGCAATTTCCTATTTTCACCTCATCCCTTTCTGATGAAAATTTACTTGAACACTAGGCATTGATAGGGAGGAATAACTGATTTTATTGTATAAGACACAGCAGCTCTGTAGTAAAAACTTTTTGAAAGGATTTTTTAAAATGTTTAATCCATGGTATGAATTTAGTTCCACATACAAAATATTTCATAAAATTACACTTTATACTTCCATTTGAATATCTCACTTAAATTTCCTGATTCAAGAAAAGGAAACCACAAGAGGGTATGAACATAGACAAAACATAAAACAGAATATCTACTTTACTATGACTTCCTCAAACAGTTCATAATTTTCTCAGCTGTATTGATTTAGAAAATGACATCTATATATTACAATTAAAAATTATCTCCACCATATTTGCATAAATTAGGTCTCAGTGAATATATGTTTTAAAACAGCTTAAAGCCATCAAGAACTATTAACTAGTCAAGTAATATGCTAAGCTATAAGGAACCAGGAGGAAACAAAAAATTTCATGTTTTTGTTTCTGTGGATGATCACAATTATCGGAAAGAAGGCCACATCAATCACCCTATCTAACAGTATATGTCTAAGTTAAGCTGTCTAAAGGAAAAGGACACTCTATATGATGGGATAAGAAAATAGAAATGTTAATCTTATATGCCTCAGTTGTAAAAATTTCATTTTAAGAAAGACAATGACCATTTTATAATTTATTTAAAACCTGTTCTGATTTGAAGAGTTCCAAAAGTTTATACATCATTATTGCTAGAAAGTTTGAAGACAGAAAATAAACAGCAATGATAATGAGTCAGAATCATTTACCCTTCATCTACTAATATGTAGTAAACTAATAATACACAGGGTTTTGTTTTTTTTTTAGTAGTTGATCATTCCTCCAAAATTAGGTCGCACTGCAATATTTATATAGCATGGACAGTGACACCTCATTTAACCTGCATCATCAGAAAACACACTATTCTTCATAAGTGAAACTATTTTCCAATAAAAAGTGCTTTTTAACAAAATGTATGACACACTTCCCCCACTGGCTTAAACAAAATGACATAGGTCCACAAAATAGTCTTATTACTTTATAGCCACATCTCCAATGCTGAAGAACTGACCTCTTTTTGGCAACTTATCAAAAAATCAATTACTGTTTTGTGCTGATAGAATGACACTACCAAGATACAAATGGCTTTTTATCCTGAAGTCTAATCTCTGCTATCAATTGTTAGTCAATTCTTATTCTTTCTATTCTGCTGTGTTTTCTTATATATAATTAGCTATAGAAGGGCCCCTCCTTTACAATCAGATTCCCAGTAATTGAGGAGGCTGGGAGACTGACCAATTGAGAGAGATTTTATTATGCTTTTTTAGATGTCTGTGGAAACCTAATCTAGACCTGTATCATTATGCCCATGTGTTATGTGTGGATAATTCCACCATTATTAGGATTCCTTTTTTAGGAGGAAGCTAGATCTGTGATTTCATTGCTATGGTGAACTTGTGTTTGAAAATTCCCTCCATCAACACAAATCAATTTACAATCTTAGGGAATTAAGGCAAAGAGAAGTTAAGTGGCTCACTTTTGGTAAACATAGCTGGCATGTGTCAAGGTAAGACTCAGACCTAGGTTTTCCTGACTCCAGTGTTGGCCTTCTATCAATTATGTCACACTGTTTCTTTATGTCATAATTAGAATCACTACAACACAAGTTACAATCACATAGTAAATAGCTATCCCCTCAAAATTTTTGAAGATTTTGTTAAAGGTTGCTAGTCATTTAGCAATAAAAATTTTCCTCCTGAAATTAATGAAAACAACATTCAGTGTGAATTTCATAGGATCTTGACTGAATATAAAGAGAACTAGATATTGATTGTTCAGAAAAAGAAAATTTACTTCTAAAAATAAGTGGCTCTAAGTCAACTACAAAAGGAAATTATAAAAAGCAGGTGGCATTAAATCCACAGGGTAATAATTTTCTGCCTTTATATGTGCAACCAATAGGCAGTTATTGATTAATGTGAATTTTAATTTACTTTCATTCCTGAGTAGAATTAAATAAAGCCTAATAAGATTTTCCAGACTATAAAAAGGTATTTAACCAATTAATCAGTACAATTAGGGAAATGCATTTACTAGATATAAGATAAATTGCACGGGTTCCATGAGGAACCTGGAGATTTCTATACCAGAAACTTAGTCCCTGAAATCCAATGAAAGGAAGCAAAACATGTTAGCCACATTTGCAGTAGTGAAAAGTAAATGTACACAGTAGCTAGAATTTTCTTTCTTCTTCCAATTAAATGGTACAGTTCAATGCTTTAGGAAGTCTGAAAGATAGCTATGGAATTCAGTTTCCATTTATTCTACCCAGTCAATGAGTGTGAAAATCAGATGTGAAATGTTTTATGTAACAGTTTTCCAAAGTCCCTCTCAAATATAATACTAGAAACCCATTTTATTTTGTTTTTTTTTTTTTGATTTGTTCGTTTGTTTTTTCAGATGGCCTAGATGCAGCTATGCACTGCGGAATGTGGTCATGTCCTTTGGTTCACTGCTTGGCACACACCAGTCATCTGCCTCATGATTGGCATTATAATGTTTCCACGCAGCTTTATTATAAACGGGGAGCCTTTCCACTGACTCTGTTGATAGTGCCTAGAAGAAACAGAAACTCATATTAAGTTTAGTTTATAATAAAGCCACTAATACTTTAAAATGGACACATTTAGCCATTGTGAATGGTTTCTCTACTAGATAAAGAGTGTGGCCTCGTGGCCACTGCAGGAAAGGTAACCAACTTGATAAGCTAGGTTTATCACTTATCTCACTGTGGTGTTTCTCAAAGACCATTAAGATGCATATTTTATACTCACACACATATATAACAGACACACATAAATATATGCACACCCACTGATGTACAGTTGGATTATATCTTAAAATTAAGCTTTTTGACAAATCAAAGGCAAACTAAGACAGACTGTTCTGGTAAACAAAAAGAGCTGCAGTCATTACCTTAATGTAAATAACAGCATCTGTCCCGTAACCTTCTAAGGAATACAATTTCAGGTCTCCTTGAAAGTACTGTGCATAAAGCCGAGATATGGGCAATCCATAACCAAAACCAGCCTTTTTAATAAAAGTAAGAGAAAAAAAACAAAACTGGTGTAAGTTACAATCATAATTCTCACATCCATTTATTAGACTACACTTTGTTCATTTTTGCATGTTAACATAAAAGGAAGAAAAGAAGGAAACTACAGAGAATTTTTCATTTCAATGCCCAACAGTTTACTATAAATAATGAGCCTTAAATCTAAGTACCTTTTTTCAAACCTTCAACTCAGTTTACTTAAAACTCCTTTTTCCTTTATTTCACAGAAAATGGTTTGAGTATGGTTGCTAAGTTGACCATTATATGACACAGTCCAAACTTCCTTTTTCTTTGGTATAATGTATTTTTGGCTACCTCTCTCAAAATAACATTCATCTCTGACCATTTCTAGAAGTACCAAGGAACAGAAGAACAATGAATTTGGAGTCAGGAGACTGTGGCTTGAGTACTGGATCTACTACTTACTAGCAGTGTAGACCTTGGACAAGTCACAAAAACTTTTCTAAGCTTCAATGTCCTCATTACGTAAAATGAAAATAATAATAGACTACTAAGTACTTCATAAGGTTTACTGTAGGGATAAAAGGAGATAATGTATGTAACGCATTCTGATGCTATAAAATTGCTAAAAAACAAATGGCACCTATTGGACACTTATTTTTTCTAATTTTGGCCTTAAAAAGCTGTGATTATAAATCTAATATCCATAACCCATGGGAAAAAAATAAATTGCATTACTTTAGCCACATCATGAATTTTCTTTAAGTTCTCAATCTCATGAACTCTTTACTAAGCCAACTCCCTTAGCTCCACTGTCACTTTTATCACAAATGCTTTCACTTACATAATGGTTACAACAGACTCATTCATACATACATACATGCATGCATACTTATACACACCCATCATCTGTGCCTTAGGATCTAACTTCATCACTAAAACAGTCTTAACTATAGATTTCCAACCAGCTTCTCCTTGCTAATTAGAATCAGCAATAGTAAAATAAAACTGTTTTAATAAAAAATAAAACTTTTAAATATCATTTTGCTTAAAGCATCTTAGACCGCCTGTTATAATAGTTTGCTTTCCCAGTAGCAACCTAATTATAATAAAATTCTTTATTATTACTAGGTCATGATTTGAGCAACATGACACCTTATAAAAACAAGTTTTATATGTAACATCTTAATTTACAATAAAACTCTAATAATGACAATTTTTCTTTCATATTTACCCATAAGCTTACTTTTTTAAATTTTTGGATCTCTCAATATCTGTATTAGACATGTACCTGTTCACTTAAGACCATACTTCCCATATTTCTTCAACAATTTGTACCTACAGACAATAGTGTTCCAGTTAGGAATTATTCCATCAAGATTTAAGAATGGTCACATTCTAATATTCAAGCTCTGGATGTCATGGTTTTTGTTTTTCCTTTGAAATGTCTCTTTGATAATTTCTTTTGCATTCCCAATGTCAAACACTCTAATCTAGATGCTCAAAGCATCACGGTGCAGTAAGGCAGCACTGGATTGAGTCAAAATGGCCTACATTCAAATCTCATTTCTCCTTATTATTTATGTAACAATGCATAAGTCACATATTTTTCTACTTTCATCATCAATAAAATAAAGGGGTTGAACTGTCCCTTCCAGCTATAAATCCTAAGACTCAATGAGTTAATACAAGGCTTATAATTAGTCTCCTTAACTCCATTCTCTCCCCTCTATCATGCATAACACTACCAAAATTATCTATAAAAGTATTTTTTACCGTATCACCCTACCACCACCACCACCACCACCACCACCACCACCACCACCACCACCAC